AAGGGAAGATTAGATGGAAGGGAGGGATAGAGGGAGGATGGAGGATGGAGATAACAAAGGAGGATGGAGGTGAAGAGGGAGGAGGGAATAAGGGAGATAACAAAGGGAGGGATGGAGGGGAGAGAGGGAATAAGGAGGAGGGAGGGGAGATTAGGAGGTGGAGGGGTGAGAGAGGGAGAGAGGAAGGATGGGGGGAGAGAAGAGAGGAGGTGAGGGAAAAAGGGAGATAACGATGAAGGGAGAGAGAGGAAAGAAAGGGAAGATGGAGGGTAGGGAGGGGTAATAAAAGCATGGAGAGAGAGAGATGGAGAAAAGAAAGGATGGAGGTAGAGAGAAAAGGAAGGATCGGGAGAGAGAGTAAGGGAAGGATGGAGGGAGAGTGGGAGGGAAAGAAAGAATGAGGGAAATGGAGAGGGAGTAAATGAAGGAGAGAGGGAAAGAGGGAGAAGGAGAAAGAGAAAAAGAACGAGAAGGGGGAACGAGGAGAGGGTGAAGGAGACGGAGAAAGAAAAATAATAAAAAAAGAGAAATAAGAGAAAGGATAAGGACAAGGAGACAAAGAGAGGGAGAAGGAGAAAGAAAGAGAAAAAGAAGGCGAAGGGGAATAAGGAGAAGGTGAAGGAGACGGAGAAAGAAAAAAAATGAGAAATAAAAAAAAGGATAAGGACAAGGAGAAGGAGAGAGGACAAAGAAAGAGAAAGAGAAAGAGAAAAAGAGAGAAAGAAAGTGAAAGACGAAGAAAAAAAGAAAAAAAGGATAGGACAAGGAGAGGGAGAGAGACAAAGAAAGGGAGAAAGTGAAAGAGACGAAGAAAAGAAAAAATGAAAAAAAAGATAAGGACAAAGGAGAGAGGGAGAGAGACAAAGAAAGGGAGAAAGACAGAGAAAGAGAAATATAAAAAAAAAGAAAAAAAAAAAGAATAAGGACAAAGAGAGAAGAGAGAGAGACAGAGAGAAAGGAGAGAAAGTGAAGAGACAAGAAATAAAAAAAATGAGAAAAAAAGAATAAGGACAAGGAGAGAGGGAGAGAGACAAAGAAAGGGAGACAGAGAAAGAGAAAGAGAAAGGAGCGTCGGCGCGTGTGTGTGTGTTCACAGGAATGCGTTCACCTGCCTCGCCGCTGCCGTTTCCGCTGATGACAGAATGTTTCTATAATTAGTAACTTCGCCATGATGATGATGAAGCAAGATCCTTTCCGACCTCAAGACGATCGCCTCTTGTTTCCTTCAGCTGACCAGAAGACGTACACGCGCACATACATACGTGCATATATGTATGGGTATACATATATTTACAATATATACACGAGCACGCACACGTACATGCATATTCGTACGCACGGACACTCACTTGCACTCGCATACGCATACGCACACGCACACGCACGCACGCGCACGCACGCACGCACACGCACACGCACACGCACACGCACACACGCACACGCACACGCACACGCACACCACACACACACACACCACACACACACACACACACACACACACACACAACACACACACACACAACACACACACACACACACACACAACACAACAAACATTCACACAACGAAACCTCCGAAACCTTTCCTTCCACACTTAACAAGGATGTTGAAAAGAACACCCACTCTCCCAGGTCCCAAGGAAGGGATACGCCCCCGCCCATTTACTCAGAATTTAGAGTAAACCTTCCTAGAGCCGACTTTCTCACCTTCCCGCAGGAAACACCACGCCGGCCGCCATTTTGGATGGTGACGTCACACTCACGCCCTCTTCGGGTAACGCAATGCCGGACAGGTCAGCGTCGAGGTTGCCAGATATCGATTATTTTTAGCTTTTCTCTACTTTAAATTCGGCGATTTACGTGGTTTTTGATAAGTTTGCGATAATGAGAGAGAGATATTGAAGGGTTTATTCGGTGAGTTTTTTTTTGAGATAGCTTACAATGGCGACGGTTGAGAGAGTTTTTTTTTTTTTTTTTTGGCCCGCGTGGAGGAAGTTTTAACATGCCAGCGGTCGGGTCGTAAGCCGGGAAAATAGTGACCTGTGTTACTATTTTTAGCGATGACGTGAAATGACTCGTCCTCCGAAATACAAACGGTTTTTTTTTCAAATTGTTTGTTTTTCGGTTATTTATTTTTTTAAATTTTTTGATCGCTGTCATTATGATTAGAGTGTTGAAACGAGTGATGATAAGGATAAATAATTTTTTACGGCAGAATAACAGGAAGGATATATTTTTAAGATAATGCAAAACGTAAACAGTGCCAACTTCTTCCTGTTATTTTTATTTATTTTATTATTTATTTATTTATTTTTACCAGTGATTATGTATAGACTCAAGAGGTAGACCTAGAGCGGGCAAGGCGGCAGTCGAAATAAAAATCTTGCACCATGGCGGAGAGGAAAAATGGCGCCGGACCGCGGAACGCAATAGGGGGCAATAAATACAAACAAGGTCCATATGGGGCGTATGAATCAGGGGAGGGAAGGCATGATACAGTGCTGTTCTGGTCGCGGAAATGACGACACGGCGATGGCGGCCCCGGGGTCTGTTCAGAGCGGAGGCAGTCGGCATATTAGACAGTGTGGCGCGCAGGGGAGCTGTTTTCGAGGGACCCGAGTTATAAGAAAAGTTTCCTGCACGCTGATAATTATTTATTTATTTTCCTTCTGAACTGTAAAGGATTGACGGTTTTATATTTATATATAAAGAAGAGGTAATTCCACGAAGGTATGAACTCGTTTATAAGTGTGAATATTGAAAAGAAAATATTCTTTTAACCTAACGATCCCTGAGGAAGCGATAACCGACTTAATTTTTTTTTCATCCTTTGTCTCCTTTTTATATTTTTAAAAGCGCGTGTTTGTGAGGAAATATACGTGGATTTATTTGGCGAGGAGCGTTCGTAAACCCTGCAATTACGCGTTCACGAATGTTGCAAGAAGGCTCAGGTGTTTCCAGGAACGAGAGGACGCCAGTGTTGCATTGCATGATCTCGTCAATTTAAAAGGCGTAACGACTTTCGCCGATGAGAAGTGCTGCCAAGGTGTTCATATTTTTATTTATTTATTTATTTTATCGGATTTCTATACTTTTGAAGGTTACGTCAGGTTGGAGTGCGGGGGGCGGGAGGGGGGGGTGTGAGGGGATAAGGGCTTATTTTTTTTTCTTTTTTTCTCTTCCTTTCCTTCTCTTCTTCTTTTCTTAATCATAGGCTTCGTTACTTTTGTTTTCTTCGCAACCTTTCGTTATTTTTTTTCAAATGTTGATACTTTTTTCATTATTATTATTTCTTATTTTCGTCCATGTTTTGTTAATATCCGTATTCTATCTCTTCCTCTTCGCCATCGTCTTCCAGTTCTACATCCCTTTCCTCCTCCTTCTTCTTTTCCTTCTCCTTCCCTTCCTTCTTCCTTCCTCCTTCTTCTTCCTCCTCCTCTCTCTTCTCCTCCTCTCCTCCTCCTTCCCCCCCCCTTCTCCTTCCTTCCTTCTTTCTTTCCTGCCTTTTTTTCCTCCTCCTCCCCTCCCCTCCCTCCCTCCCCTCCCTCCTCCCTCCCTCCCCTCCTCCCCTCCTCCCCTCCTCTCTCCTCCCTCTCTCCTCCTCCCCTCCTCCTCCTCCTCCTCTCCCCTCCTCCTCCTCCCTTCCCTCCTCCTTCCCTTCCTCCCTCCCTCCCTCCTCCCCCCTTCCCACTCCCTCCTCCTCCTCTCCCCCTCCCCTCCCCCTCCCCTCCTCCTCCCCTTCCCCCTTCCCCTCCCCCCATTCCCATCAATATTCTTATTTATGGAACAGAAAATCATATTTCGAATTGACTGAATCGAAGAGCACTTGTTTTGATAAAAAAAAAAATAATTCCGGAAGTGATTAGCCTTTAATGACATCACGAAGTCAATGTGAAAGCGATTCGAACAAAAAAGAATTAGATGTCCCGTATGTGGAATCCGTTTTAAGGTAAATCTGTATTTTTTAGTCATTGTAATTTTAATCATTATTAACCATGGAGATTTTTTTTTTTAGTTTGTTAGTGATTTAGGTTTGTTGTGTTGTTGTAATTTTGTGGTCATTGGCGACGTCTTTGTCATCATCATCATCATCATCATCATCATCATCATCATCATCATCATCATCATCATCATCATCATCATCATCATCATCATCATCATCATCATCATCATCATCATCATCATCATCATCATCATTATCATCATCATCATCATCATCATCATCATATCATTCATCATCATCATCATCATCATCATCATCATCATCATCATCAATCATCATAAATTTCAAATTACTAGTAGTTTTATTCTTAATCTTACACGCACACCTACATAGACCTACCTACACCTACATATACAAACATACCCCTCCACATACTTACACAAACTCAACATACACCTACATACGCCTACACATACACATTACAACCACATACACTCCATCTATTTATATATACCCAACATACACCTACACGCACCTACATACACTACATACCCACACATACAACATACAACCACATACACCTCCAATATATACCCAACATACACCTACACACACCTACATACACCTACATACCCTTACAAATACAACATACCAACACATACACAAACATACACCTCCATATATTCACATATACCCAACATACACCTACACACACCTACATACGCCTACACGCGCCTACACACACAACATACCAACACATACACAAACATACACCTCCATATATTCACATATACCCAACATACACCTACACACACGTACATACACCTACATACGCCTACACATACAACATACCAGCACACATACCAAACACATCCACATACCTACACATACGCACACACACCACATGGATTCGACGTAGGAAGCACAAAGGGGACGGTTTGTCTGTCTGTCTGTCTGTCTGTATGAGAATGTTAGTTTTGATTTCTGTTGTGTGTAGTTGTCTGTCTGTTTATCTTTTTGTTTATAGGTTTGTTTTTTCTGTTCTTTCTTTGTCTCTTTATCTGATTATCTGTCTATCTCTCTGTATGTCGGTCTGTCAGTTAGTCAGTCAGTCTGTCTGTCTGTCTATCTATCTATCTATCTATCTATTTATCTGTCTAAATCATTCAATCAGTCTATCAGTCTATCTATCTATCTATTTATCTATTTTTCCTATCTTATATCTATCTATTTATCTATCTGTCTTCCTATCTTATATCTATTTATATCTCTGTGTGTCTATTTCCTTTCCATTTTAAGCATCATTTTTACTTCAGCTGAAATTAACTGGTTTCTTGGACATAACCTACACGGCTTCTCTGCCAAAACAGGTGTTAGTCATCGAATTTGTTTTGAGATTTTAATAAATTTTCTCAATTCTTTTAACTATTTACGATTAGCCATGACCCAATCCCGGACATAGCTGACCAATCACTCCCCACAAGGCATGAGACCCGCCCTCCGTGCCTTTGGGTAATCGCCATATGACCTCATACGAAGGAGAAACAAGGGGTTGACCAACGCTTGAATAATTTCCGAAGTCTACCCTCGTAAAAAAAAAGGAGAAGATCGCCCGTTTTCTTTCTTCTGGCGTGAGTGATGTGGAAATCCCGTGTGTTGGCCGAGCGTGTTGGGGTCGCTGTGTAGGGTGTTGGGGGTCGGGGGGTGTTGGAGGTTGTTGGGGGTCGAGAGGGGGGAGGTTGGTGGGGGTTGTTGGGTCGAGAGGGGTGTTGGAGGTTGTTGGGGGTCGAGAGGGGGTGTTGGAGTGTTGTTGGGGGTCGGAAGAGGGTTGGGGTCGAGGGGGGTGTTGGAGGCTGTTGGGGTCGAAGGGGGTGTTGAGGTCGAGAGGGGGATGTTGGAGGTTGTTGGGGGTCGAGAGGTTGTTGGGGGTCGAGAGGGGTGTTGGAGGTGGGGGTCGAGAGGGGTGTTGGAGGGTCGAGAGGGGGTGTTGGGGTTGAGGGGGGTTGGGGGGTCGTTGGAGGTTGTTGGGGGTCGGGAAGGTGTTGGGGGTCGAGAGGGGGTGTTGGAGGTTGGGGTCGAGAGAGGGTGGTTGTTGGAGGTTGTTGGGGTCGAGAGGGGTGTTGGAGGTTGTTGGGGGTGTTGGGGTCGAGGGTCGAGAGGGGGTGGTGGGGGTTGTTGAGGTCGAGAGGGATGTTGGAGGTTGTTGGGGTCGAGAGGGGTGTTGGAGGTTGTTGGGGTCGAGAGGGGTGTTGGAGGGTGTTGGAGGTCGAGAGGGGTGTTGGAGGTTGTTGGGGTCGAGAGGGGTGTTGGGGCTGTTGGGGGTCGAGAGGGGGATGTTGGAGGTTGCTGGGGGTCGAGAGGGGGGTGTTGGGGGTTTGTTGGGGGTCGAGAGGGGTGTTGGGGTCGAGGTTGTTGGGGGTCGAGAGGGGTGTTGGAGGTTGCTGGGGGTCGAGAGGGGGTGTTGGGGGTTGTTGGGTCGAGAGGGTCGAGGGGTGTTGGAGGTTGTTGGGGTCGAGAGGGGGGTGTTGGGGATCGAGAGGGGGTGTTGGAGGTTGTTGGGGGTCGAGAGGGGTGTTGGAGTCGAGAGGGGGTGTTGGATGTTGTTGGGGGTCGAGAGGGGTGATTGGGGGTCGAGAAAGGTTGTTGGGGTCGAGAGGGGGTGTTGGAGGTTGTTGGGGGTCGAGAGGGGTGTTGGGGGTTGTTGGGGTCGAGAGGGGGTGTTGGAGGTTGTTGAGGGAGGGGGGTGAAGGGGTGGATGGTGAGTTATTTTTTTTTTTTTATTTTTTCTAGTATTTTGTTTTTTTATTTGTTTATGTTTTTTGTTTTCTTTTTATCGATTTCTTTCTTTTCTCTGTTTTATTGCACTTCTTTTTTTGTGTGTTTGTGTATACATTTCTTTCTCTTTTTTTTTAATTGTTTCCTTTGTTTTCTGTGTGGAACCTCTCTTCCTTTCTCACCTACGTACACATTAGTCATATGTAAGCGGTCACATACACACACATACACAACCCCCCCCACCTCCCCATATAGCAAACAGTTAAACACAGTCAGATGAAAAATTAGATAAACAGAGAGATGTAGCAATTAAAACAAACAAGAAAAATAAACACTAAAACAATGCACTAGCACACGCACATGCACATGCACGTACACACACGCACGCACGCGCACGCACGCACACACGTACACGTACACGTACACGTACATGTACATGCACACGCACACGTACACGCACACGCACACACACAACACACACCACACACACACACACACACACACACACACACACACACACACACACACACACACACACACACACACACACACACACACACACACACACACACAACACACACACACACACACACACACACACACACACACACACACACGCACACACACACACACACACAGCCGCCTTATTTCATGTGGCATGTCTATGCGAGCGGTATATATTTAGTTTGATGAATCACTTGATTTATGTGTCATTGTGCAGATAGGGAGTGGGAGTGGGAGTGGTGTGTGTGTATTAACTCCTGACTCAGAAAGGGAGGGGGAATTGGGGGAGGAAAGATAGGGAAGGAGGAGGAGGAGGAGGAGAGGAGGTGGGGGTGGGGGTAGGGATAGGGGTGGGGTGGGGGTGAAGGAGGAGGAGGAGGAGAAGGAGGAGGGGGAGGAGGAGGAGGAGGAGGAGGAAAGATAGGGAAGGAGGTGGAGGTGGAGGTGGGGATGGGGTGGAGGTGGAGGTGGAGGTGGGGGTTGGGGGTGGGGATAGGGTGGGGTAGGGGTGGAGGTGGGGGTGGAGGTTGAGGTGGAGGAGGAGGAGGAGGAGGTGGGGTGGGGATGGGGTAGGGATAGGGATGGGGTGGGGGTGGAGGTGGAGGAGGAGAAAGAGGAAGAGTAGGAGGTGGAGGTAAATGTTGAGGTTGAGGTGAGCAAGAAACGATAAGGTAGTAAATACAACAAAAATAAAAAAAAAAAAGAAATCAAGTAAGAGTACAAGAGAGATAACAAACACGAAATCTCCTCTCTCCCTCCCCAACATTCCCTCTCCCTCCCCCTCCCCAACCCCTCTCTCTCCCTCATTTCCCCTCTCCCCCACTATCCCTCTCCCTCCTCCACTATCCCTCTCTCCTCCCCATTCCCTTCCTCCCCTCCTTTCCCCCTCCCCCACTATCCCTCTCCTCCCCCCTACCCCATTCCCTTCCCCTCCCCCTCCCCCCTATCCCTCCCCCCCCTCCTTCCCTTCTCAAATGACAGTCATGAGACAGTGGTGAAACCCATGAAAACACGGAGGCTGTGAGATCCCGGATGAGAAGGGGAAGAGGGGGAGAAAGAGGAAATGGGAGAAAAGGTGAGAAAGGGGAATGGGGAAAAGGGGAAAAAGAGGAAGTGAGGAGAAAGAGGAAAAAGAGGAAATGGGGGGGGCAGAAAGAGGAAATGGGGAAAGAGGAAAAGGGGAATAAAGAGGAAACGGAGGAATAGGGGAGAAAGAGAAAGAGGAAAAGGTGGATAAAGAAACAGAGGAAAACGGTAGAAAGAGGGAAAGAGGAAAAGGGAGATAAAGAGGAAACGGAAACGGAGTAAAAGGGATGAAAGAGGGAAATAGAAAAGGGGGAAAAGGAGAGAAAGAGGAAATAGGAAAGGGGGAGAAGAGGAAAAGGAGAAAGAGGAAATAAGGAAAAGGGGAGAAAGAGGAAAGGAGAAAGAAAATGGGGAAAGAGGAGAAAGAGAAAAGGAGAGAAAAGGAAATGGGAAAAGGGGAGAAAGAGGAAAAGGAGAAGAGGAAATAAGGGAAGGGAAGAAGAGGAAAGGAAGAAAGAAAATGGGGAAAGGAGGAGAAAGACGAAAAGGAGAGAAGGAAATAGGAAAAAGATAAAGAGGAAATAGGGAAAAAAGGATAAAGTGATACAACGTCAAAATCCTCCATCGCGCTTTGCTTTACGACTGAAATTACAGCAAGTTACAGAGGTTAAGTTGTAGGGAGTTTCTTACAAGAGAAGAAGGGGAAAAGGAGGAAGGGAAGAGAAAGAGAGGGAGAGGGGAGAGAAGGGAGAAGGAGGAAGGGAAGAGAAAAGGGGGAGCAGGGAGAGGGGATGAAGAGAAAGGGGAGAAGGAGGAAGGAAGAGAAAAGGGGGAGCAGGGAGAGGGGATGAAGAAGGGAGAAGGGAGAGGAAAGGAGGAAGGGAAGAGAAGAGAAAGAGGGGAGTGGGAGAGGGAAGGAGAAAGGAGAAGGAGAGAGAGAAGAGAGAAGGGAAAACCGAGAGGGGAGAAGATAGAAGGGAAAGAAAAGAGGGAAGAGGGGAGGTGCGAAGGAAGGAAGAAAGAAGAAGAAAGAAGAGAGAAAGGAGGGGAGAGGGGAGAGGCAACTTCCTCGCCAAAGTCCCCGTGCGTCGAGTCTGTAGTCGTGGCCACTTCGCTCGGGATGGAGGATTCGGACGCAGCGGTGGAAATCATCTGAGTGTTGTGAAGCGGGGGAAACCTCTCGTGTGTTCGTATCCGTGCGTGTTGTCTTCGTTACTTCGTCTACTGACAAGTGAGAATGTGGTTTGCAAAAAAAAAGTGAAAGAAAGTGCATAAAACAGAAAATTAAAGAAAGTTTAAGAAAAGAAGAATTATAAATATGTTCTCGTGAATATTTTCTTTGGAACGTTTCATTATTTTAACGACTAATCATTCATAATCTACATGAAATATACATTTAATATCCAAACCTTCCATTTGGAACTAACGTAAATATGATCACACTCGTATTTTCAGAAAATTAATTCTATATCAGATGAAAACGAAGTATCATTTAACTTTGCACAATTAAAGATTCTTCAGCCTAGCAACGTGTATCGGATATTAAGGCGGTAAAAGACGAGATAAATGGAAATTCATGGAAATGTGCAATCAGACAGCGCCGCCATCTTTAACCGCGAAAGTGGATGAGTAGATTTTTAATTCGAATATTTTTTGTTTTTTTTTTTTGGCTTGTGTGAATATGCATGTATATATATATATGTATATGTGTATGTATATCTATCTATCTAATCTATATATATATATATGTATAAGTATGTATATATATGTATGTATGTTTGTCTGTGTTTGCGTGTATTTACGTGTATTTTGTGTATTTGTGTGTGTTTGTGTGTGTGATTGTGTTTGTCTTTATTTGTTTATATATATATTTATTTTTTTACTACTTTGTTTATCTATCTATCTATTTATATTACTTTTAGCTTGGCAACTAGGGAAGCAGCGCCGCCCGCACAGCGAAGGTCGACGAGCCTAACTTAAAAAAAAAAAAAAAATCGATTTTATAATTTTTTTTTTTATAGCTTGGCAACAAGAGGAAAATGTCGATCTTGTGCAACGTACGTCAGGTGTACTTGATTAGCAACAGAGTGAGGGTTTTCGTATGAGTCATCTCGTCCATTTATGCAAATTTTGAGGTCTGCAACACCCCCCCACCCCCACCCCCACCCCCCTTGTGCTGATGTATCATTTTTAATTGGCAATTGCAGGTTCATCTTGATCTGGCGTCTCAGGATGGAATTTGGGGAGGAGGGGATGGGGATGGGGGGAGGGGGGATGGGAGGGGGGATGGGGGGGGGGGTGGAGGGGGAAGGGGAGAGGGAGGAGAGGAGGGGAGAGGAGAGGAGAGAGAGAGAGGGAGATGGGAGGGGAGAGAGGAGAGGGGAGGAGAGGAGAGAGAGGAGAGGGGAGGAGGAGGAGGAGGGAGAAGAGGAGGAGGACGAGGAGAAGGAGAGGAGGAGAAGAAGAAGAAGAAAAAAGAAAAGGAAAGAAAAGAAGAAGAACAAGAAGAACAAGACAAGAAAATAAAAAAAAACTAATAAAAATGAAAAAAGAAAAACGAAAAAAAAAGAAAAGAAGGAGGAGAGGGGGAAGGGGTAGGAAAAAGGGGGCCAGAGTTTATTAAAAGGAGAGGAGGAGTTGACAAATACTTGACTTGCGTTTGAATGACAAGTCGACCGGGTCGTCTTGGCTCCCTTATAACGGTTTATTTTAAGACATATTTCAAGGTTGGGTATTTTTGGGATTTGGGGACCAGTTTTTAGGGGTTTAAATCTCCTGAGGTTTGTTTGTTTGTGTTTTGAGAAAATGTGTGTGTTTTTTGGGAAGCTCATGTGGTTATATTGTTGTATTTTAGTAATTGGTTGTGGATTAATTTTGCCGAAAGTTGATGGTAGTTATATATTTAACTGCAAATTTACTACTACTACTACTACTATGGTTATTGTTATTATTATTATTATCATTATCTTTATTATTATATTTATTTGTATGTTTTTGTTCAATTTTTATTTCAACGTCAGAATCGAATGCAAACCACCCAACCCGCATCCGGCACATTTCGACAACTTCGCCGCGACTTTGCGAAGACATCCCCGTCCCGCGCGCTCATTATTATTATCAACCATAACACGCAGATAACACGTGCTATGACGTCACAGCCCGAGATAAGACAGACATTGCAATCGACGCTCTCCCACAGTGTCATTACGTCATGTTACAAGAGCTGTTAACGCATCATTAGTCATTTCTTTTGTTTCTGGAAAGGGGAGAGGGGGGAGGGGGGGGGGGGCGGAGGGAGGGAGGATCAGGGAAGGTAAAAGGAAGAGAGGGAGGAGGAAGGGAGGAAGAATAAAGGGAG